CTTTGTTGGGGGGGGGGGTGGCGCGGTCGCGGGGCCCCGTCAGGCTGTGGGAGGAGCTTTGCTGCTCACGAGCCCGCTTCTAAATTGGCATATCTGCATATTCGTGGCTTCATTATCCTGATTCCCCTTCAGTGCCTCACTCGCCTCCAGGCTCCTGTCTTGATTCCCCTCCCTCCCTGCGTCCCCGGCCCCGCCCCTTCTGCCCATAGCCACACCCCTTCCTCATAGACCACGCCCCTTCATAACTCCTCCCCTGCCCAAGCCCCGCCCAATGCCAGCGTAGGTGGTTTTCAGAAGGCAATGCCTTCTCTTGCCTGCATTACCTGCCACCCATGAAAGCTGGGACTCACATTTTGGCCGTTCTGACTCGGTGCCCATTCCTTCAGATCTCAGCATGAGAGCGCTCCCTGATTACACTCTGCTGGCAGCAATGGGATGGGGATGGGTTTTAGTGTGGATGCAGATTTTCTCTTTGTAGAGAAGAAATAAACATTCTGTTCCATGCACGTTCCAACACACTGCAGAGATGACTGGTTTTTAGAATTTCTAGGCAGCCCAACTGTGCCGCCCAAATAGACAGACATTCGTACACTTAAACACGCTTCTGCCTTCTGCTGGGATCCCTTTGCCCCTGCAAAGTCACCCTCGGTATTTTACGATCGTGAGGCTTGTCTTAATCATTTCTGTCCCTCGATGGAAAACGTCCCTCTAGAGCCACGGGACTGGTTGGTTAGTTGTGTTTTTGAAAAGCCACTGCCTTTTTTAAAAACATCCCTGTTGGCTGCAATTGCACCAAAATGCCGTGTGTGTGTGTGTGTGGTGTGTACTATCTTCGCTTCGCTCCTTCTGCCCCCACCCCCCTCCCGTGCGGCTGCCCCCCGTTAGCCGCACGCCGTTCTCTGGGGTTCGCGCCCTCCAGGGCAGCCACCCGGACCCAATGGCGAGGGCGCGGGGTGTGATCCGGAGAGTTCGCCTGCCCTTTTCCCTGCCGCGCCCGGTGACCCGCGCACAATCCCCCGTCGCATGCGCACGCTACGGCCTCGCTCAGGGGTGGGCAATGATTTTTGCAGGGGGGGGTCACATCATAGATTTTGATACATGGTCGCGGACTGGCTCTGCCCCCAGAAGGGGTGGGGCCTCGGACAGAAAAGATGCCACGCATCCCTAGCGGGATGCTCCCCTGTCCCGGGTCTGGATCGGCCGGGGGCAGGGCGGGCTGGATCAAATGGCTGGGTGGGCTGGATTCGGCCCACGGGCTGTACCTTGCCCACCCTTGGCCTAGTTCCTGGAGCTCCAAGTATAACCCTCTTAATTTCCCTTCCTCCGTTCCTGGGGTGCAGATGTAACCTGTCAGTTTAGGCAGCTAGCCCAGTCTCCTCCGGCAAGGAGTTCCACAGGTTGGCTGTGCGCTGCGTGAAGCAAAATGTCCTTTGGTTTGTTTTAAACCTGTCCTGCTGAGGCAGTCATGAGACTGACATGTGACTCGCCCCACCCCCCGAATAGCCTGGATTCCCCTCCCCAATCTCCCCGCGCCATCTGGATTGAGTTAGGCCTGTCCCAATGAAACAGCTGGCAGACAGGGACAATTCCCGAGCCGGGCAGACCAACCAGAGAGCAGCGGGGACCCGAGAGGCAAACCGACGACAGCTCTTGTTTCTGGCCGGCCGAGCGCCGTCAAAGCCCATTTTCTGTCCCCAGCTGGGGCGCTGTTCCCTTCTCTGCTGAGGGCTGCTCTTTCTGTCTGGCTGCAAGCCAAGGCCCTCGGGGCCTTACAATACAGAGGTGGGAAAAGGTCTCCCCCTTTCTCCCTCGCCTCTGGGCCGAGGGCCCCCTGCAAGCCTCGTGGCTTGGACTCCCCTGCCCATCTCCCGGACGTGGGCACCGACTGAGGAGCAGAAAAGTCACCTCGCGTTCCTCTCACACGCCAGCGCCGGAGGGGGCTGGGCTAGTACATTTGGGGAGGGGAGATCCCAAGACTTGGTCCCCTCAGCATTGGCGAGGCCTCTCCATCACCTGTGGGTACTGCCAGGTTGGCCCTAAATGGTTACCTCTGGAGCTGTCCACAAAGCGGGGATGTGCAGGGGCGGCACGCGTGTTCTCGCACGGCGGTGGTCGGTGCGTGGCGCCGCTCCCGGGCGCCCCCCGTGTCCCACGAAGGGGAGGGGAGATCCCAAGACTTGGTCCCCTCAGCATTGGCGAGGCCTCTCCATCACCTGTGGGTACTGCCAGGTTGGCCCTAAATGGTTACCTCTGGAGCTGTCCACAAAGCGGGGATGTGCAGGGGCGGCACGCGTGTTCTCGCACGGCGGTGGTCGGTGCGTGGCGCCGCTCCCGGGCGCCCCCCGTGTCCCACGAATAAACGTGCCTCTGTCGCTGCGTTTGCCCCGGTGTCCGGAGGTTGGCTCACGAACGGAAACGCGGGCGCCCGGTGGGCGGGGGGTGGGCCCCGCCCCCGCCTGTTCTTTTCCCAGCGCCTGACACGCAGCCCGGTGGTTCCTGGTGGCTGTAGCCCCATGACTCTGAGCCCAGGGTCGGCCGGCTCGGCCGCCCGGTGGCGGGGCACCTGCTTTTCGGCCCTGCCCCCTGGCTCCAAGACAGACCTCTGGCCGGGAGGGTGCAGAGCATCTGTGTATTGCGTGCCAACCTCCTGGCCCCCAGCCTAGCCCAGCCCCCTTGCTGCCCCAAAGACCAGCCCCTGCTCACACCCGAGACAAGTTCAGAGCCCAGTGGAGGGGCAGGTTTGGCTACACTCTAAGGTGCGTCTAGACTGGCATGATTTTGCGCAAAATCTTGCCACTTGTCTACACTAGCCGCGAGTATTTGCGCAAGAGCACTGACTTTGTACGGTACAAAATCAGTGGTTCTTGCAAATATACTCCGACGCTCCCGCTCAGGGCTAAGCCCTCTTGCGCATGTATTCTTGCTCAAGAGGCCAGTGAAGACAGCCACGTTACTTTCTTGCGCAAGAAAGCCCGATGGCTAAAATGGCCATGCCACTTGTCTACACTAGCCGCGAGTATTTGCGCAAGAGCACTGACTTTGTACGGTACAAAATCAGTGGTTCTTGCAAATATACTCCGACGCTCCCGCTCAGGGCTAAGCCCTCTTGCGCATGTATTCTTGCTCAAGAGGCCAGTGAAGACAGCCACGTTACTTTCTTGCGCAAGAAAGCCCGATGGCTAAAATGGCCACCAGAGCTTTCTTGCGCAAGAGAGCGTCTACACTGGCACGGATGCTCTTGCGCACAAGCGAATCTTTTGCGCAAAGGCACAGGCCAGTCTAGACGCTCTCTTGCGCAAATACTTTTAACGGAAAAAGTTTTCCGTTAAAAATATTTGTGCAAAATCATGCCAGTCTGTCTAGACACAGCCTAAGGGGTTGTCTACGCTACAGAATTCATTCGAAATAACCGCCGTTATTTCGAATGAACTGTAATAGCGCCTACACCTACAAAACGCTATT